ACAATAAAGCACAGAAATGTTTAGGAAAAATTACAGTCCCAGGCACACAAACTTTAACACTGGAGTAAAAACTCAATTGTAGCACATGCTTGTCAAGCAGGGACAATAGTATCAATACATCTAGGTAGCAAGGAAAAAAAGCAGCAAAGGAGTTTTGAACAATAACAATATTCTAACTGGTTGAATAAGTATATATAACAAGCCTTCCAAGGAGACTCCTTGAAAGAGAATATCAATTGGTAAAGGTTGGTATTCTGCTGTTGCTATTATCCCGAGGAATAAACCCCTCTGAGGAGGAAGCCACATTACTCTGAAAATGTTTGAGACTCACCTAAGCCTGGAAGATTGATGTGAGGAGCCCAAATCACTTCAAAATGAAACCAAAGAAGGATAATTTCAAAGTTTAGTCTTGGGTTCTAAAAACAATACATGTAAAAATCCATGGAGGTAGGGCATGGGGTGGGGATACAAAATGGACATGATTCAGTTATGACTAATGACTAGTACTTATGACTCACTAAATTAACAGCAAGATGGAGCTAAGAAAATCCCCTGACCTAACACCAAACTGATCAAGTTTTCTGAACGAGGAAGGTGATAGCCCCAATCCATTTCTGAGCTGGCTAGAGTGTTGTCTTCTGGATATGGCACTATGAAAATGAACTAAACCCCAGGGTTCAAACAGAAGGAAACAAGCATGTTGGCGAGGCTGAGAGAAGGATGAAATTGCTCAAGTGTTTTTAAGACTTAGGAAAAGAGGTAAAGATTCACACACATGAAGGATTATTACAGAAGAATGATTAGATTTATTCTGTATGATTCCAGACACATCAGAGCCCACACAGAACAAGGGCAGTTGGAACTTAAAAGGCCCTAAGATGTTCCAAACAGCTGGAGAGGAAGAGACTAACAGGAATATAATATTACTAGGGACAACAGAAAATGAATTCCAGTGTGAAAGAGGAGGATAGCATAGAGAGGCTTTAAGACTTCATCTCTAACAAGAATCTAAAATTTTAAGATTGCCCTGGTCCCTCTCACAAACCAAGGATCTGCTGAGAAAAGAGCATTTTCTCTCACCTGTTCTGCTGAACAGATGCCACCCTGTGGATGCTTTACATCCACAGTTTCAGGCCAGAGACTGATGAGAAACATGACTGCAAATACTGAAAAAACTCCTGGAGTTCTGAATTAAGAGTGCAGATTTGGGTTTTATTTATTTATTTTTCTGAGTTGGGTTTTACTCTGCTATTAAATCAGTGTTAACCTGGATGAATACCTTAAGCTCTGTAAAACTCAGATCCTCTACCTATAAAATGAGGGAGCTATATTATTTTCAATTCTGTAAGTCTTGAATTTCCAAGCTGAGGTGCACTAATATCTTCTTTATTAAATGTCACTGAATTTATAATAAAAAATTAAGGTGTTAATGTCTGCATATCTAAAGGTAACAGACAAGTTTGAATGATTCTTGACAAATTCTATTTTAATTAGAAATCGCAAAAATAAAAAGGACATTTTATTTGCTTTAATTTGATTTAAAAAAGGGATAAATAAATATAAAACAGAAACAGGATTAATAAAAGTTATTAGGATTAGATGATAAATATATTTCTCCTTCCCTGGTGGCTCAGAGATTAAAGCATCTGCCTGCAACATGGGAGACCCAGGTTTGATCCCTGGGTTGGGAAGAACCCTGGAGAAGGAAATGGCAACCCACTCCAGTATTCTGGCCTGGAGAATCCCATGGATGGAGGAGCCTGGTAGGCTACAGTCCACGGGGTCACAAAGAGTCGGACATGACTGAGCCAACTTCACTCACTTCATTATTTAACTAGTATAACACAAATTTTTAAAAAATTACTCATGTCTTCTAGTTGTAGAGTGAAAAATTACTCTGTACTTAATGCTTAGCACAATATAGAAAAGTTAAAATAAAACCTGAGCTCAAGTTAACTGCAAAGTTCACTTTAAGTAGTATACTTCCAATTATTTTTGGTATGTTTCATGGCTTACTTTTTTTTAATTACTCTACTTTATTAATAGTTATTGTTAATCTCCTACTGTACCTAATTTATAAATTAAATTTTATCATATGTATGTATGTGTATAGGATGCTCAGTCGTTCAGTCATGTCTGTTTACAACTCCATGGATTGTAGCCCACCAGGCTCCTCTGTTCATGGGATTTCCCAGGCAAGAATACTGGGTGGGTATTTATGACTTATTTTAAAGCTTACCAGAAAGTGGACATTTCAGAGTTCAAGGCCTATGAAATACATAATTGTTGTTTTTTAATGAACTTATATTAAAACTCTGCAGAACCGTAGGATTTTCTAAGCATCTAGAAGTTTACCTTCAATGGCAAATCTAAATAACGTAATCAATGAGTCAGTTGGCAAATATCAAAAATTCATTTTAGAGTTCATGTTAAGCACCAAAATGGAAAAATTATACATCCAAAATGTATAATCCAAGATATACAATCCAGCCAAGGTATACAATCCAAGATGCCCAGGAGTGTATTTTAATCCCCCAAACCCCTCTTTAATTATGACTAGCACCACTGAGCTCCTGTCAGGTCTCCAGACAGGTGGCAATGAGGGAATTCTGTAGCCAATCCTTGTCCTCTGTGGGGCTACAATCTGGGAACTTTGCTTAACTGTGAATGGAACAAAACTGAAACTGCTTTTTTACTTGCCCTCATAGATCTCATTTTTCCAGATTCTCTGTTTCTGCAATACATCTTCACATATTCAAAAGATGAAACAAAATCTTCATAAAACCTTTCTAAAAGTTCCAATTTGCTGTGCCCCCAAATCACTGTCTGTAGTAAATTAGAAAGAGTAAATTCTAGTTTTGGTGTCTTTTTAGAAGAAAAAGTCTTCATTTGGGAAGAAAATGAGCTGGAATATCCCATGAGACCTGCTTAATAAATTTTGTATCTTCAGTGCCATTATTGAAGAGGTAGGTTATCACACTCCAGGTCTCATCCTATGTTTCAGGGACTAAAATTTTAAACACAAGCCCTGAAAGCAATACAAGTGTGACGAATCAGATGCAGTTGTGTACGCCTATTCATGCAGTGAAATTCTACACATGCATTCTAGATAATGTTCCACTATTCTCGAGGAACGAAAAAAAGCTTGGGGGATCCCACTAAGCACTCAGTTAGTTCTAACCATCATGGCCTGCTATTGGTGGGGGCAGCTGCAGTGCTGCAAAAGAAAAAAAAAAGACTAGACTGAGATCTGATTCCAGTCTCAGCTCTACAACTTACCAGCTATGTGACCTTCAGAAAGCCTAATTCTCTAAATGAAGCTATCTAGAGGATTCAGACAGAGCATGAGGTGACTGGATGGCATCACCAATTCGGTGGACATGTTGTTTGAGCAAGCTCTGGGAGTTGGTGATGGGCAGGGAAGCCTGGCATGCTGCAGTCCATGGGGTTGCAAAGAGTTGGACATGACTGAGCAACTGAACTGAACTGAGAGGATTTAGTTAAGAGTTTAATTAGATAACAATGCTACGAAAATTCTAGGTTTTGCTTTAGTTTATTATACCTTTTGTTTACACACAAATGACCTGGCCAATCCCCTTGGCACTTTGAAAGCCATCCTCTACTTGCCATCTGCCCTCCAGCCACAGATAATCATGCTTTCCCAGACACAGCTTTATGTTTCTGCTTCTGTTGTCTGATTTTCCCTTTGATACTCATTTTCTGATACTACACTTGATCTTAGCCAAAAGGTTAAGAAGTGATTGATCCTCAGTTACTGAAAAATATACTCACCCTCCAAGACTGGCTTAAATGTCATCTCCTCAAGGAAGCCTCTCTGAATCCTTCTCATAGAATCTTTCACATCTTTTTGCTGATCTCCTAATGTGCTGCTTTTATATCTTGGTTGTAAGTGACTAAGACCTACTGTATCATTGTATCCTCATGTACTAATATGACAGTAAAGCCGTGGTGTCAAGTCGGGGATAGGGGTAGGGGTTCCCACAATTTATCATTTTATTTATCTTCCTTTTCTCTTTTGCTTAAAATGTGGAATTTAACACCAGCTTTGCAACCAAGTAGTAAATAGCCTCTCCAGATGTATAAAGGAGAGGACTGACCTAGAGTTAACTTTTCAATAGATTACAGAATCAGAACTAAAATTCTATTTCCATATTTCATACTGAAAAATATTACAGCTAGCTTTCACTGCATTCCTATTTTTTTTTTTTTCACTGCATTCCTATTTAGAGTTTTTCACTACCATATAAATGATAAAACCAAGAATAAACTCTAAAATTATCACCTGAAAATTCTATCTTGGGGGAATTTTCAACTATTAAATTAATACCACAGAATATGCTGTCCAATTTATGATTTCATAAAAACAGAGGTCTACACACCAACTTGTTACATTTATATAAATAGCTTCTTTTTATCACGGTGCCAACAGTTGTACCAGAAGCAGCAAACCAGTCTGGACTTGTACCATCATCACTATCTGACTCGGCAAGCTGGCAGGGCCACAGAGAAGCAGGTTCTTTACTTGTGAAGACGCTCCTCAAGGACAGGAACTCTACCCTGATGCATTTCTAATATTTCTAGCATCTGACTCTGTTTCTTGCAAAGGGATGGGATTCTGCAATGTTTACTGAATTAACATTTCTGAATTCCATTCTCTAGATGCTGCGACCTCACTACATGTTCTGGAAGAAAAACTGCCCAATAAAGCTCACATCTTCAGTTCCATCACAAATAGGTGGTAGATTATTATTACTCAAGGTCTTAGCCTTCGCAACAGATATAAGTGGTAAAAAAGACTTTAAAGCATGTATGTTCATGTCTCTCTCTCTAGAGTAATATATTAACATATTTCTAGTAACAGCAACTTATTAAAAAGCCCAACCATGTGCAATAAACAATCGATAGTAACTTTCTCAAGACTCTTAAGAGAAGGCAGTTCCTGAATGGTCACTGCTTCAAGAACATAAAGATGAACTTACCATCATCTAAAGTGATGTCCTGCAGACCAATTGTAGAAAAATTAGGTTCCTGCTCTTCAGGTTCAGGTTTAATGTTCACAGTTGCCTCATCAGGTGGAAATGAAGCTGGATCACACAAACTGTGACATAATAAGGATGAAGGTGCAGAAATATTTCCCTGGCCTGTACTTTGTGCTTGAGCTGAGTGCTGTCCAGAATGCATTCTGGTGGCTAGAGACGGTGATGAGGCAGTTCCTGAGCTAGGAGACTGGTAAGGCATAGGCTGCAGCTGAGGAGATGGTGGCCCAGAAAGTGGAGAATTAGCCAAGGGATGAGAGGCTGCTGGGGAAGCGGTTGTAGCAGTCCCTGAATGTGAAGGACCATACGTAATGGGTTGTAACTGAGAGGAAGGCTGACCTGTGACCTGATCGGCCACTGGAGAAGAAAGAGATCTTTGTCCTGTGTTTGAACAATGGTATCCCATTGACTGCAGATGAGGCAGGGTCTGCACAGAACGAGGTGTGTGGGCTAAGAGATGTCCTGTTGAGCCTGAATTTGAAGAATGAAAAGGTATGGATGATGGTGTTTGACAGCCAAGATTTATTAAATTAGGAAGCGTTGCATCCTGCTGAAACAAAACTGGATCAAATTCTTGACTAGAGGCAGCATTAATAGGAAGACACGTTGGTCCATTGAATACAACATTAGTTTGCATAGGCTGATAGGAAGACCCCATAGGAGGTGTTGGTGTGACTTGAAAAGGCTGGTGCACAACTGAAGAAGATATCATATGCTGTTCTTTACCAGCACTCTCATCCCTACACTGCAGCTGTGGCAGATGGGATGCGGTTACCATGGATGCATATGTTTGCTGGATGGGACAAACCAAGCTTCTCTGTGCAGAGAGTACGCTGTCATGTAGGTGTCCTGTATCTGAAGAAGTCCTCTGAGTCTGGGCAGGATGAGGCAATGGCGGAACTGAAGACAAGTCAATCTCTTCTCTGTGTTCTTGCTTCATCAAAACTGAAAAGGAAGAGATTAAAGCAAATGTTATTACATAATACATAAAATAATTATGAATGGGCTTCATTCTAGGCTATACAACTATATCATACATTCAAGTCAGGGGTTAAAAACTCAAAAGGCTTCAGGGAAGCCAGATAATTTAAACTTATGTTTTTGCTTAATATGTATGGATACCTCTGGAAAGATGCACAAGAAACTGATAACTGTTGGGTTTACTACTGGGAAGGGAAACTAGGTGAATAGGAGAAGACTTACTTTTTACCGTAAAAAGTTTTAGGGCCTTTTGAATGCTTTTCACCATGTATATATATTATCTATTTAAAAATAAATAATTTTTTTAAAACCCGAAGATCTTTATGAGGTAGAGATTATTATTACCCTGCCTCATAGATGACTATACTGAAGAGATTAAAGACACTAAGATCTCACAGCAGCTAAGTGATATCATAAGGTCTTGAACACAGGTTTTTCTGCCTTCTGATTCTTGTTCAGGTATTTCAAGTTTGGTTCACTGTGTCTACTGGTTCCTGATCTCTCTAATGTCTTTTTTCTTCTCTCCCTAATGTCTTGATGTACTTTTCTTCTGACTTTGGCAGAACTAGAACTCTGTCCCTGGACTACTGGATTTTTTTCATCTTTTACTTTGACTCCAACTCTGGTCTCAGGAAAGCCACAGTGAATCCTATACCCAGAGTCATATTTCTACATAAGGAGGGAGAATATCCAAGAAAGCCTATTCTCATCCTTTAATCCTGAATGGAACAGCTGGGCTCCTTGGTTACATAAATGGTTGGTTATCATGTACTAAAAAGGACACCAAGGGACTGAAAACTACAGCATAACATCCACCTTTTTGTGTGTGACCTAATCCTTATTTCTACTTTCCTGACCAATATCTGGGTATCCAGTCTGAGAACTCTGCTCTACTAAATCAAGTGCATGTTCACTCTGCCACATCAAGAATTATTCTTTTGGTCTATAAGGAATTCAGACTCCAACATGACGTCCTCAATGCTGGTCTAAGGTAATTTATTCTTGTTTGGAGGGAAATAGTTAAACATATCTTACAATATCTACAATAAGACGAGTTTTGGAAATAGATTAATTCTACCTTTTGTATTATACAAGCTATTTCTCAAATTTAGAATGCTGAAGAACAGAGGAATCCAGGAGGAAAAAAAAGATCAACTGGTCTAGTGGTTTTCAAACCATAAGAAGTCTTACACTCTTCTTCAAGTGATGGATATAGAATAGGATCCAAAGAGTAACAGCTCTGGACTTCCCTTTCCAGTGCTAAAAGAGCACCCAAGCCAGCTTTATTCTCATAAAACTGCTTTTTGCATAAGATTTTATTTGAAGAATATGTGCTGTGCTCAGTCACACCTGACTCTCTGTGACCCCCATAGACTGTAGCCTGCCAGGCTTCTCTGTCCATGGGATTTCCCAGGCAAGAATACTGGAGTGGGTTGCCATTTCCTCCTCCAGGGTATCTTCCCAATCCAGGGATCAAACCTGTGTCTATAGGCAAAAATACTGGAGTGGGTTGCCATTTCCTCCTCCAGGGTATCTTCCCAATCCAGGGATCATACCCGTGTCTCCTACATTGGCAGACAGATTCTTTACCACTGCGCCTCCTAGGAAGCCCTTATTTGAAGAATAAAACAATCCAAACAATTTGAAAATCACTGTTTAGTATTATATCCTCTTTTACAGAGGTTAGCCAGTAGATACAGTCTGTGGCAGAACTGAGATTTGATCTTCTGACTATAAGGCATGCTCTTCCTCCCAATCAAAACAACCAAAATATAAAAGTCAGTTTACCCAGTCAACTATTTAGAATACAGACTATACCCTCCCACAAGCAAAACATTATATATGAGAGTTTGGCTCTAATGCTGTCTGAAAAATCCCCATGATTCCAAAAACCAGAGCTCAGATGGTATCCCCATGTACAAATAACTTCTGCTGGACTTCAGAGGGAGATACACTTTCTCTGGGGTGGGGGCAGGGTTCCCCACATTGGAAGTTCTGAAGCTGTTGAATACAAGCTGGGCAGAAGATCAAGTAGCTGAAAGCTAGGGAAGGGCTATGTGCCGTATTTACCGCCTGTGGTAAGGTTAATGTGTAAATCATACACATACGCTGCGAACTGTCTTCATTCTAGAAAGCAATGGATTGTGGGACAAATAATACTAAATATAATCCCTAATTAAAAACAATTTGTTTTTAAATTAGCCACTTGTAGTAATGATTATTCCCCCACTGGATACTGATAGTGGTCAGATCCATATTGCGAGAAAGTTGCCAAAAAGGAGGCAAATGAAGAAATCCTTTAATTAAAAATAAGCAACTTACAAATATATAAAGTTTTTATAAGTAAAAATTAAAAAGGAATTATTGTTACACACAAAATGGCTAAAATCTCTACTATAAAGCATTCATACAAATTAATAAGACAAACATAACAACTCTACCATAACAAAGGGTCATACAGTAGAACACTAAAAAGCTATTAAGATTCTGTAAACTTATCTGCTGATAGGGAAAATAAAAATGTTCAGGTTATAAAATTAGTACATATAAGACAGTATGGTCTCATTTCTATTTTTAAAATGATGTGGCTATACATGGAATTAAAGGATCTAAAGAAGAGAATGATAGAGTGAAAGAGAATATGGATGCTTTAAAAAAATTTTTCAACTTGTCCTTTAAAAAGATTCACAGTAACATATTCGCCTTTGTAAAAACCTTATTCAAAATTTCATTTTAGAAAGAAAGTGAAAAAAGTCAAATGTTACAGACAAAAGGTAATAATCAAGCAGAATAAGGACTGTCCAAACACTTGTGTGTCCACTCGTCCTTCACTAGCATGTGCCACCTGATTTGCATTCTGTCAACCACAAGGCCAGTGATGACAGCTCTAGTCCAATCCAACGTTCTCCCTGCACTCCAGGGCCCCAATGATTTCCATTCTCATACGTAATGCCCTCTAGGACTCTGCTTTTATATTGTTTTTCTCACTTCAAGAGTTGATAATGTAGAAGCATGATATTTGCTCCTTTCTGTCTGCCCGCTACCACCACTACGATGGTAGTAATCAACACCTCTAACATGCTGACCCTACTGCCTTTTTTCCCCAACCCCAGAAGCTCTCTTCCTTCTTATTCAGGTTAGATTCTATAGTTCCTCATCTCAAAAGAATTTAGTAACATTCTTGGACCCTGGATGAGCCCTATAATTCATATTTCACCACCTGCCCTGAAGAATCTGAGTGCTGCTTAAGAAATTTACACAGGAGAGCTAATTAGTATCCATAAATTCACCAATATCAACATCAAAGGTGTCCTTTGATTATCCTATTAGGTTTTCGTGGTAACTTACTCTCCCCTCTCTTTATAATAACTTTTTCATATTTCTCCACACCATTAAACTGCCAAATCACCCACATTCTCTTCTCTCTGCTCACAGAAGGAGGCTGCATGTCATTCTTTATAGAAACAAAACTGAAGCTATCATCTGGAAACTCCTTAAACTCTCCACTACTAAGTCTGTAAACGTTGCTAATGTACATCCATCTTGTTCATCTCCTTTTCCTTCCCTCCTGTTTCTTTTCAATTTAAAGTCCATGCCAATTGGGATATCTTAAATCCTATCCTTTCCCACTCTTCTCAGAAACCTGATATTCTTTATCATCACTGATGCTCTTTCTCACCTTTGTATACTCAAAATATGCTATCTGTTTGAATCACATTTTATCCTTCCTGGGTCTCTCCTATATAAATTTCACACTCTATAGTTAGTTAATCTGAGGAAAGACTAAACTGGTCATTGACATCTTATAAACTGACAGAAGAACCATGGGAAAAATCATTTTTGAAATACAGATCTGATCATGTCACCTCCCTGTTAAAGTTCACTTCTTACAACTCTTTTAATACTATCTGATCCAACCAACCACAAGGCCTTTGCATGTGCTACAGCCTTTATGTGGAATGTTTTCCCACTCTTTATCTAACAGTAATTAACAGTACAGACTATTCAGCCATACTGCAAAGATTCATATCTCATGTTTGCCTTTATTAGCTATAGGATCTCAGTTCACTCACTTGCCAAATGGGGAGGGCAACACCATCTACCTTATAGCGTTCAGTCCAGTTCAGTCCCTCAGTTGTGTCCAACTCCTTGCGACCCCATGAACCACAGTACGCCAGGCCTCCCTGTCCATCACCAACTCCCATAGTTCATCCAAACCCATGTCCATTGTGTCGGTAATGCCATCCAACCACTTCATCCTCTGTCGTCCCCTTCTCCTCCTGCCCTCAATCTTTCCCAGCATCAGGGTCTTTTCCAATGAGTCAGCTCTCCGCATCAGGTGGCCAAAGTATTGGAGTTTCAGCTTCAACATCAGTCCCTCCAGGAACACCAAGGACTGATCTCCTTTAGGATGGACTGGTTGGATCTCCTTGCAGTCCAAGGGACTTATAACCTTATAGCATTATGGGAGAATAAATGAGTTCGTTTGTATAAACTGCTTAGAATAGCACCTGGCACACACGAAATGCTCTGTTTGCTAAATAAATGAACAAATGGATGTAGTCTAGGTTAAGTTAGGAGCCCAGACTCTGGAACCTGACTATATATGATGTTTGGCTCTAGAATATATGCTGTGAGACCTTGGGTACATTACTTAGCCACTCAGTGTCCTCATTTGTAAAATAAGGCAACAACCTACCCCACAGGTTTATTAAGAGGATTAAATGAATACAGAAAGGGCTGAGAACAGTACTAAAACAGTTAATGTTATATAATTATAAACTGTTACTATTATTTTTCAGTTATTAACTCAAGCATCACTTCCTCATAGAAGTCTTCTCACAACCAGTTAGCCTAGCAAGAATCCCTCTGTTATTTTCACCCACAGCATTGTTTCCCTTTCCTTAACAGTTCTTATATGTTTCTAACTACAAATTTATAATTTATTTAGAGATTTATGAGCTTCTATTTGTTCCACTAGATTATAAGCTCCATGAGAGAGAAGCTAAGAGAGGTTTTGCTCACTTAGTGTGCATCCTTAAATACTTACTGAATTAATGCATAAATGAAATGGCTAACCAAAATCCTTAGTTCAAAGGTTTGAAAATTATCTGAAATATTTTATTACCAAGTAATGTATTAACATGGTCAAGTAATAATAATTTTCAGATTCTGGAATATAAGCAGTATTCAGAGGCTATAAATGAAATACAGCCAGGCTTTAAAAAGAATATGGTGACAAATGAATGACTAATAACCAGAACCCTCTCAAACTCAGTGTTTGTTCTTTTCATTTACAATAAACCCTTTAAAAGTTTTTATAAGAATAAGTTTTGGAGAATAAGCTTCACTACAATTTTTTTTCTCATCATATGTTCTGATGACTAATAATACAGCATCTAGCACAGAGAAGACCTCTATAAATGTTTGTTCTCTAAGAATGTAAACATCAGCATGAATTAGTGCATATACTATTTGTGTGTCACAATCCAGACCTGGAAAATTACAGCACTTGAGCTGCTGCAGAAAGAGGTGTGGAAGTCTTTGTTAGGGTGTCTCTATAAAATCAGGAATTCTGCCATCAATGTTATTCTCCCCCAAAGCCAACACATGCTATAGTTGCTGCTTGCCAAATGAAAAATTTAAGGAGAAATTTTCCATTTTGATTGGAAATGGTTGAGATGAATATACTACAAAACAGGCACACTGCTTTTTTGCAGTGCTAAGGGCAGAAGGAAAAGTTCACATGTATTCAGACATCTATCCTTCCAACAGTGCTGGTGACCTTTGGTAACTCCTGAAAAATAGACTTCAAATCTACATTCAACCTTCTAATTTCCTTATGACAAAAGACAACAAAAAATAACTGTTATCAGATCTAATATTTAAAGTAAATACAAACTTCACAGATGAGGCATATGTTGGGATTTTTATTCATTATAAGCACCCTATCTTAAACACACTAACTAATACAGGATTCACTGAATAACTTTTTATTCATTATGAAAGAAAGCTGTATAGTAAACCGTCACAATAACTCCTCGTACCTGGTGTGTAAGTAAAACGTTGAGACTGGCTTTTTTTCCTCTTGCCATTGCAAAGATAAAAGTGCACCTGCACTGCAGTTGTAACTGCTGGGTTATGATATGGAGGAACTTCAAGGACAATGTGAGCCTAAGGAGCATGGAAAGCAAGATTGTGTTACACTCAGAACTAAAAATGAAATGCACCTGCTAAACTCAACACATCTCATGAGCCTTAACTACTTGGGCTCATTATGCACATTAACTGGTCATATAAGTCATCTGGGGATTTACTCTAAGGATACTTCAGTCTTAACAGAGAAAAGCTCTTTCAAGTAAACCATTAAAGGAGAAATTGCTTTTCACTCACCTACTTAGGTTTCTAGCTATAGCAGAAATCAAAAGTCATATTATTTACTATGTAGTAAGATATTTTGTGCTGATAAATATTACATGTTACTATACATCTTAGGAGAAGGCAATGGCACCCCACACCAGTACTCTTGCCTGGAATATCCCATGGACAGAGGAGCCTGGTAGGCTGCAGTCCATGGGGTTGCTAAGAGTCTGACACGACTGAGCGACTTCACTTTCACTTTTCACTTTCAGGCGCTGGAGAAGGAAATGGCAACCCACTCCAGTGTTCTTGCCTGGAGAATCCCAGGGGCGGGGGGAGCCTGGTGGGCTGCCGTCTATGGGGTCACACAGAGTTGGACACGACTGAAGTGACTTAGCAGCAACAGCGTACATCTTAAGTGAAAGTTTGTTCTAATTTTTAATCAAAGTTTAATAGCTCCCACATTGTGTTATAGTTTAGATTTCTTATCATTTCTGTCCCTTGGCCTCGCTGTGTGGCCTGAGGGATCTCAGTTCCCTCACCAGGGATTGAACCTGGCCTACAGCAGGAAAAGTGTTAAATCCTAACCACTAGGGAACTCCTTTATGTTAAATTTTACATTGAAAATGTCCTAAATGGCAAAACACAAAATCTGTATCTATATCAAGAATAATCTTACATATGCATAGAGAAAATTTTTAGCCCCAAATCAACCACAATCCTTAATCTAACTTCTCTAGGTCTTTGGAGAGCACTGAGAGAAGAGGTATTGTCTACCCCAGAGAAAATTCTGTGTCCATTCCAACCAGGATGAAGGAATCACAGCTTTCAGTGTTGAATCCTGGAAGGCTTACTGTGGAGGAGTTGGAAAGAGTGTGTTAAATACAAAACCCCTGAGGGCTTGTCCTCCTATTTTTTTGCCCATTATTTAAAGTTCTTCACTGAATTTGACCTCTTCACTGAATTCAGAGAAGTAAATCAATAATCTCAGTAAGAACTTCCAATAATTTTCATTTCTAATTTCTCCTTCCCTATGCACAAAAAAGGGGAAGACACCAACAGTTTATCTTTCCTAAGCTTTATTTCAGTACCAGGAAGGCAATCTATCTCATGTCCAAACTTCTAAAAAAGACTCCTCATCTATACCACAAAGCAACATTATCTAATTTTCACATTAAGCATCTCAAATATTTCCAAAGAAATAAACTTCTTACCCCTTGACATTTTTCCTTGATTATCTTCCCTTCTACTTCCCACTGAGGTCGTCCATCTAGTGAAAGAAACAATTTACAGTTAAAAGGAAGTCAAAAAGCATGCAAACAAAATCTAACTTATTTAGTATCACAAATTTATTGGCAAAAGGAATCTTTATCTCACTGACTTCTGTTATGAAAATGTCCACCCACGGGGAAAAAAGTGTGAAGAAAGATCTTAGGCCTCCTGAATTTGCAGGGCCTGCAGACTTTACTAAGTGATGTATGAAAATCTTCTGAGAACACCTCTACAGAGTGGTGGCCAACTTCTTTCTGACTGTGTGCCTTAAAGTAATGAGAAACACATTCCCTAACCAAGTAACCCATTTCATCTTTGGATAATAACTGCTGCTAGAAAACTGCTCTATCTTCATGATATGTCTCCTTCGAGTACCCAACCTCTGGCCTAAGCACTACTCCTTGTAGCCACCCCCTAAAAATCTTGAGTGTCTCTGTGAGACAGTATTTCATTTGTTTAAAAGCATCTGTGTTTGCCTGTGTCTCCTTTTCTGCTGCCTAGCACCTCTAGTTCCACATCTATTTCCTAAACAATATTTTAGCCCTCCTGGTCACTCTTCTTTGAACAGTCTTCCAGTGTGACCATCTCCCTCCAAATGCATCAGGCTGAGGACTGAATTAGACCAGGTGAGAAATGATTCAACATGACAGAGAGTGACTGAGGCTCTTGTTGTCTCACATAGAGATGCTGTGTCTCTGTCAATAGAAAAGTTTTCTGAAGCAGCTACACTATCAAGAAAGTGTCTTGACACTTCGCGTGTGGCCAGCAAGTGTCCCTCAGTCTGCCACATGTCCTACTGCCAAGCTCAAGCTCCCACACTGTGTACTCATGCAGCTGGGTGTGTGTGTTTTTAACCCCTAGCCCTTGCTATGTTAGTTTCCCCCTACTAGACTTCATTTTCTAGGATTGCGTGGCTTGTCAAGATCTTCTTAGAAACAGATGGTCTTGTGAACAATCTGCCAGGCTTTCCAGATCTGGGTCACCACAGATCTTTATTATCTGGCCAGCACATTTTCTGCCTGTTCATCACAAGTGACTTGTTGACCTAGGAGCACCCCATCTGCTGCTAGTGTTCCCACTCCAGCCTAATGTGCAGCTATTCTAAAGCATTCTTTTTATGTCATGGTCATTCACCCTGTGACAAAACCATACAAGTATCTTCACTGCTAGCATCACTTCATCTGGTCTGTGAAGACTTGGTGAAATGCCTTCCAGACTGTGACTACCATTTTCCACTCCAACAACTAAGTATGAGCTACCCCTGTGCACAAATGCTATGCCTACTCAGAATTACAGCTCAGTTCAGCAATCATCTGCTGGGTCTCAACTTGCCAGGCACTTTGGGTTGCTGAAATAACAGACAGGATGCCCTACTTTCTGTCTGTGGATGAAAGGCAAATACAAACAGTTCATTATAATGAAATGTGGACATTACAATAATTAATAAAGATGCATTCTGGATGTACTAGGAGCACAGATGTCAGGGTCCTTATAACCGAGTCTTGGCTACTATAAACACTGGGCAATGAACATGGGAGTGTATTTTTTTGAGTTAGTATGTCTATTTTCTTCAGATAAATACCTAGAAGTGGAACTTCGGGATCATACAGTAGTTCTACTTTAAATTTTCTCAGGAACCTCCAAAATATTTTCTGTAGTGACTCCATCAGTTCACATTCCCACAAACAGTATACAATTCCCTCTTGTTCACAGACTTGCCAACACTTGTTTTTTCTAGCTTTTTTTTTTATAATAGCCATTCTAAGAGGTGTGAGGTGGTATCTATAGTTTTGTGTTTTTCTTTTTTTTTTGGCTTTGCCAGGTCTTCACTGTGGCATGTGGGATCTAGTTCCCTGACCAGAAAATGAACCTGAGACCCCTGCGTTGAGAGAATGAAGTCTTAGCCACTGGACTACCAGGCAAGTCCCTCTCTATGGTTTTGACTTCCATTTCACTGATGATTAACAATGTGGAGAATCTTCATATCTGTTGGCTATCTATGTTCTTCTTTGGAAAAATGTCTACTGGGATCTTCTGCTTATTTCTTAATTGGGATTGTCTGATTTTTTACTATTGAACTGTATGAGCTCTTTATGTGCTTTGGAAATATTTTCTCTCATTCAGTAGGCTGCTTTCTCATTTTGTGGACAGTTTCTTTTGTTGTGCGGCTTTTTAAGTTTGATGTAGTCCCTTTTATTTTTGCTGTTGCTGCTTCTGGTGTCAGATTCAAAAAATCACTGTCAAGACCTATACCACGGCTTACTACCTAAGTTTTCTTCCAGTTTTACAGTTTCAGGTTTTACATTTAAGTCTTTAATCAATTTTGAGTTCATTTTTGTGTATGGTTTAAGAGAGTGGCCCAGTTCATCTATTTTATATATAGTAGTTTGTATCTTCTTTTTTTTTTTTTTTTAGTTTGTATCTTCTTATCCCAAACTCCTAATTTATCCCTTCTCTCTCCTATCCCCTTTGGTGACCGTAAGTTTGTTTTTTATGTCTGTGTCAACTCAAATTTTATATTATTTACCTTGTCCTTTTTCAAGAAAGATGATTTTGGATTCTGGAAGAAAATTAGATCCAGTAACAATCATTTCATGACCTCCATTTACAGAACAACTGTTGATACTGTACTTCTCAATATGAGGAAGTTCTTGAGCAGACCGCTGAGCTGTTTTTTAAGAGTGAAGAAAAATAAATACTAGTTTACAGTCTTTCATATGTAAATGACAAATTCTAGCTATAAAAGAAGAAAATTCTGGGCTTTTATAAAACACAGGACAATAGTAACAATATCTACTAAATAACTATGCTATTTAGAAAACAAAATAAGACTTATTAGTCATGTGACTTCTACAGTATTATTAGACTATGACTATAGAGAAACTAATAAAGAGAAACTAATCAATGCCTGCAACTTATGTTGACTCCAACACATTCACCTCATCCACTTTTCTCTTTTTAGCTTAATACATTTCTTCCCTACAATTTGCCTTTTAAAATTGGCAAATTTAATATAATAAGAAAACTAAGAGGCATAATTACATTACATACAACTAAAAGAAGACAAGTTTCTAAAGGACAAACACCAAGTAAACATTTCACCAAGAAAACAGCCAGATCATCAAGACATCAGGATTACATGTTGGATGATCTTCTGAATAACTAAACAAAGTATACATGAAGTACACATTTCAATACAGAATTTTTAAATGTGAACATAAATTTCTTAGTGCACTCTACTCTTCCTTCCCAGGATATGTGAACACAATTTATCTTAAAACCTGTAAGTCACTATTTAAAGTATTAACTTTTCCGGGTGCCACCATTTTCTGATATCAACTGATTTCAATTTTATTTTCTGGAGATCCTATTTCTGGTCTTTTCTTTTTTTAAAAAATGCTTGAATTTCAAGCTATACTTCTTTTGACTGCTTAGGTTCTTTAAGGGTTTATTCCTGTCAAAGTCCTCAACAACTACGTTTCTCTCTAGATTAAATAAAGTGTGGACTACACTTTCTTCTTCATGTTTTGGAAACAGGTCTACTTTTAGTCCTACTACTTGGGTGGAAAATTGGTGGTTTTGAGGGTCAGCTGTGTTTTGTTTGGCCAAAACAACATTTGACAGAAATTTAAACAACTTGACTGCCTTTAGGATGCATGCAGTCCCAGTTCCCATGTCTCTTCCAAGTATTTCATACCAAGCCACAAAAGGTATATGAACTGGGATCCTAGTCCCGTACAAAGAGAATGTGTCAGAGGGGATGGGTCTGGTTAGGATGAGCTACAACTTGGAAAGTACCAAGGACCAACCTAGATCTCAGAAAACATTTATGTCCCTATTTATGTTTTAAATGGTGCAACAGAGAAGGAGCATGAACACAAGCACTGACTAGCCTAGGGAGTAGGACTATCTATGGCAGAAACCAGCCATCACAAGTACATTTGCTAAACACATCAAACTGTTCAGCAAATGGTATAGCCAAAATAAAATATTATGCATGTGCCAAAAGTATTTTTGAAGAATATTTAACAATATGAGAACACGCCCATTATAAGTGAAAATACCAAATACTGTGTATACACACACACACACCCAAAAAAATCCAAAATATGGTTAATAGTGACTATCTCAGAGAAGTGACATTACAAAAGATTTTAATGCTACTCTTTATACCATTCTGTGTTTTCTATATTCTCAATAGTCACACATTAAGTTAATAAACTAAAAGAGAAAACAGAGTAATTTTAGCATAAATTCATCTCAAAAACTCAAGCTACTCTATGAACTTAAAATTACTTAAATTATGTTGCTAAAAATTAGAGAAATATATGCTTAAATGGGCACTTGTCTGGCAGAGTAACAAAGACTGTGGCAACAAAAGCTGTTTCTAAGAAGGGGAATTAGCTGACTTGAAAATTTACTTTTCATTCTATACTTTTTTTTTAGATAAGAAGTGGATTTATTCAGATTCAGAGAGAAGCACAATCCACAGTGTAGCAGAGGGCAAGTGCAGGGGCCTCACTCCATACTTTTATTCATTTTAAATTCTGTACCATATACCTGTATTATCTATTTAAAGTTAATACAAAAATTATGCCCAAAAGGATCTAAACCACAATCTCAGTATTTCAGTCCTATCAGCTAACCTGCCTGAGGTCCACAGTTCTCAATCCACAGCTTGAGTAGATTATCAGGTTCTAGGGCCTTTTTCAATTTCTTGGCCTTGAAAATTTAGGTAAATGATATTCACTTTCTCAAGCTGATGTAAATGAATTTATGGTAAAAAGCCAAAAGCCTGGGAATCCATAGTTAGGTGAACTGTCAACTTGTAAAGATAGGCATCTTCCAATTTTATTGGAAGATATTTTTATTTTATTTTATTTTTATTTTTATTTTTATTTTAATAAAACAAAGGTGACCAATAGTGACACTTAGCGTCAGACTCACAGGTTCATGATTTGGTCCTCAGGTGTCATCAAGCCCCCTTCCTCATTTACAGGTAAGAAAACTGTAGTCAAGAGAATAATGTCTATAGCCACATAGGCTACCTAGGGTCAGATTATAATGCGAAGCCATTTCCTAACTCCAAGATCAGTACTAACTCCAACTAAACATGTAGTTTATTTCTATATAAGAAAATCATACCAGCTTTCCAAACCCTGGGTTTCAGTTTACTTTTGATCTCAACATTATAAATAAAACAGGAAATGAAAATGACCTTTTATAAACAAAATTTTAAAAATATCATCACAAGCTCACTTACAGCATTCAACAGGTATAGAAGCTGTCTGCAGAGAAAGGACTTTTCCATTGGGCTGTGGGATGTGTACACGAAACACAAGTCGAACTCTAGTATTCTTTCTGCCAATATCAGTTTCTCCTTTTCGAAGTTCTATATCTGAATTTCGGAGTTTCAAAATACCAGCACAATCAATACTAGGGGGAAAAAACATACAAGTATTATTGGCTTACTGAAATTAGTGGTTCCAAACAACTCAGCTAAACAGTTATTGTTAACCTGCCAGGCACAACTATCACAACCCAAAATCAGGTCAAAAAAGAAAGATATGACTGCTATTTTCTGCTATTTAAATTAAAAATAGGATTAAAAATGTTTTGGATGACAAATAATACTAAGTGTAGCAACTGACTATAAAGAGGGCTGTCAATAATTCTTCCCCATACCTGTATTCCCATGCCACTTTACCCATTAAGAGGTAGAGTAACGATGTCCCCTCTCCTTGATAGTGGACCTTATGATTTCCTTTGACAAACATAATGTGGTCAAGTGATGCTATGTAAGTTGCAAGGCCAGCCCTGAAGCAGCTCTGGAGCTTCCACTTTTGCTCTTCTGGAGCCCTGAGCCACAATGAAGAAGTCCAACTAGTAAGCTGGAGAGAAAAGCCCAGATAATCCTCAACTACTCTGCACTACTCCAGCTGAGCTCCCAGCTGAAATCAGGTACATGAGTGATTCCAGCTAACACCACATGAATGAACCAGCTGAGTCCAGCTAACGAAAAGAATAATGAAAAATAATAAACACTTACAACTTTTAAGCCACTAAATTTTGAGGTGGTTTGTGTTATAGAACTAGATAATTGAAACATAAAGTGAAAGGCTCTAATTCTATACATATAACTTAGCCCAGAAAAGATTAATGTATAGGACCACAATTAAATCAATAATAACATATTAAAACTTTTATATATATTTATTAATAAAAACAATCCATCAGGCTTGAACCAGTGAAGTTCAAGAAGAATCTGAAAAATATAATATTTTCACCTTCAGAAAGGCAAAGAAATTTCTAAAAAAGTAATATTTTCAAAAATAAACATTTTTATTTATAAATAACTATTTAGCTAATATTGAAAAACTGTACCTTAGCTCAAAACAGTACTGATCAAATTGTATCAAGGTAGTAATTATTCATGCTAATATGCCAAATGAGTATTTGGTGGGAAATACCGGAGATTATCCACTTTTATTGAATTTCAAGGGAAGGTATTTTAGCAGACAGTTAAGTTTCTAGCAGATGATGTGGAGCATCAGAAATGACCATTTTAAACTCTGGCTAAGCAATGAGAAAAAAGAAAAAAGCAACCAAACCAACAAAATCTAAAGTTATAGGAATGATAGTAACTATTAATTTCTGCTTACAACGCAATTATATTCTAGATCAGAATATAACACTGCTACATCCATATTCATCAAGTTCTAAATCAAGGAGGAGTTATGAGTAGGGTAAGGCAATGAATATTGGCATACTATATTTAAAGCATCTTGTAGAGTGGTTCTATGTTTTATGGGTTGAATATTGGTGCTAATTAAAGAGTATTACCCTACAAGATAGATTAGGTTTGAGATGACCAGATCTATGGGATAGCAGGCAGAACAAAGAGGCTATCTCCCCATCTTCCCCCACACTACTGCTTTGAGACAACAGTAGAGCTTTTTTTTCCTTTGGCCACAGCATGCAGGATACTAGATCCCTGACTAGGGATGAAACTGGCATACTCTGCAGTGGAAGTTGTTGTTCAGCCACACAGTTGTGTCAAACTTTGTGACCCCATGGACTGCAGCACACTAGGCTTCCCTGTCCTTCACCATCTCCCAGAGCTTGCTCAAACTCATATTTATTGAGCCAGGGATGCCATCCAACCATCTAGTCCTCTGTTGTCCCCTTCTCCTCCCGTCTTCAATCTTTCCCAGTATTAAGGCCTTTTCTAATAAGTTGGCTCTTTGCATCAGGTGGCCAAAGTACTGGAACTTCAGTATTAGTCCTTCTAATGAATATTCAGGATTCATCTCCTTTAGAATGGACTGGTTTGATCTCCTTGCTGTCCAAGGGACTCTCAGTCTTCTCCAACACCACAGCTCAAAAGCATCAATTCTTCGGCACTCAGCCTTCTTTATAGTCCAACTCTCACGTCCATACGTGACTACTGGAAAAACCATTGCTTTGACTAGATGGACCTTTGTCAGCAAAGTAATGTCTCTGCTTTTTAATATGCTGTCTAGGTTTGTCATAGCTTTTCTTCCAAGGAGCAACGGTCTTTTAACTTCATGGCTGCAGTTACCATCTGCAGTGATACTGGAGCCCAAGAAAAGAAAGTTTGTCACTGTTTCCATTATTTCCCCATCTATTTGCCACGAAGTGACAGGACTGGACACCAGGATCTTCGTTTTTGAACGCTGAGTTTTAAGTCAACTCTTCCACTCTCCTCTTTCACTCTCATCAAGAGGCTCCTCAGTTCCTCTTCGCTTTCTGCCACAAGGGTAGTGTGTCATCTGCCTATCTGAGGTTATTGATAATTCTCCCAGCAATCCTTGATTCCAGCCTGTGCTTCATCCAGCCCCGCATTTCACATGATGTATTCTGGATATAAGTTAAATAAGCAGAGTCACAATATACAGCCCTGACACACTCCTTTCCCAATTTGGAACCAGTCTATTGTTCCATGTTCTGTTCTAATTGTTGCTTCTTGACCTGCATACAGGTTTCCCAGGAGGCAGGTAAGGTAGTCTGGTATTCCCATCTCTTAAGAATATTTCACAGTTTGTTGTGATCCACACAGTCAAAGGCTTTGACTCCACTAGCTTTGTTCAAATGATGGTTCCTAAGGCCCACCTGACTTCGCATTCCAGGATGTCTGGATCTAGATAAGTTATCACACCAGGGGTCATTAAGATCTTTTGTGTATACTTCTTCTGTGTATTCTTGCCATTTCTTCTTAATATCTTCTGCTTCTGTTAAGTCCATACTGTTTCTGTCCTTTATTGTTCCCATGTTTGCATGAAATGTTCCCTTGGTATCAATAATTTTCTTGAAGAGATCTCCAGCCTTTCCCGTTCTACTGTTTTCCTCTATTTCTTTGCATTGTTCACTTAGGAGGGCTTTCTTACTTCTCTGTGCTATTCTTTGGAACTCTGGGTTCAGATGGGTATACCTGTCCTTTTCGCCTTTGCCTTTCAGTTCTCTTCTCTTCTCAACTATCTGTAAGGCCTCCTCAGACAACCATTTTGTCTTTGTGCATTTCTTTCTCTTGGGGATGGTTTTGATCACCACCTCCGGTACAATGACACGAACCTCCGTCCATAGTTCTTCAGGCACTCTCTATCAGATCTAATCCCTTGAATCTATTTGTTACTTCCACTGTATAATCATAAGGGATCTGATTTAGGTCATACTTGAATGGCTTAGTGGTTTTCCCTACTTTCTACAATTTAAGTCTGAATTTGTTCTTTCTGGTCTATTCCAGGAAGGCAGTGTATGCTACCTCTGGTTGGGGAAGGGAACATGAATCTTGACTACCACCTCTATTTCATGTGTGGATCCTACAGTTCTGATAAGTTCACATTATTTGGTACATAAGGCTTTCTTAAGTTCTTGAAAATCTGTCTTAGAAACTCAGGTACTCTGTTTTCTTTAATTTATTGATTTATACATTATTTTAAAAAATGATTTGAGGGGTTTTTCAACATAAACACAATTAATGTCAAGAAGAAAGAAATAGAAAAAAATTTTAAATAGAAGAAACAGGAAATAAATATATCCAAATCTAACATTATATGAATTACTATAATTACTATAATTGAGCTTGATTATGAACTTCAGGAAGCTGAGGCAAAAAATAATGATGATAAAGTTTTTGTAGGTCTCTCCTTGTCTGGTAAAGTCTACTGCTTAAAATATCCAGAGGAATGAATGGAAACATGGCCTGCAAACTGTCACCTATGAAGCAATTTTATGGGTTCTTAGAAAAAGATAGCTCTAGTAATTTTCTGGTAGAGTCTTTAGGATTTTCTATGTAGAGGATCATGTCATCTGCAAACAGCGAGAGTTTCACTTCTTCTTTTCCTATCTGGATTCCTTTTATTTCTTTTTCTGCCCTGATTGCTGTGGCCAAAACTTCCAAAACTATGTTGAATAGTAGTGGTGAGAGTGGGCACCCTTGTCTTGTTCCTGATTTCAGGGGAAATGCTTTCAATTTTTCACCATTGAGGGTGATGCTTGCTGTGGGCTTGTCATATATAGCTTTTATTATGTTGAGGTATGTTCCTTCTATTCCTGCTTTCTGGAGAGTTTTAATCATAAATGGATGTTGAATTTTGTCAAAGGCTTTTTCTGCATCTATTGAGATAATCATATGGTTTTTATCTTTCAATTTGTTAATGTGGTGTATTACATTGATTGATTTGCAGATATTAAAGAATCCTTGCATTCCTGGGATAAAGCCCACTTGGTCATGATGTATGATTTTTTTAATATGTTGTTGGATTCTGTTTGCTAGAATTTTGTTAAGGATTTTTGCATCTATGTTCATCAATGATATTGGTCTGTAGTTTTCTTTTTTTGTGGCATCTTTGTCTGGTTTTGGAATTAGGGTGATGGTGGCCTCAAAGAATGAGTTTGGAAGTTTACCTTCTTCTGCAATTTTCTGGAACAGTTTGAGTAAGATAGGTGTTAGCTCTTCTCTAAATTTTTGGTAGAATTCAGCTGTGAAGCCATCTGGTCCTGGGCTTTTGTTTGCTGGAAGATTTCTGATTACGGTTTCGATTTCCTTGCTTGTGATGGTTTTGTTAAGATCTTCTATTTCTTCCTGGTTCAGTTTTGGAAAGTTATACTTCTCTAAGAACTTGTCCATTTCTTCCAAGTTGTCCATTTTATTGGCATAGAGCTGCTGGTAGTAGTCTCTTATGATCCTTTGTATTTCGGTGTTGTCTGTTGTGATCTCTCCATTTTCGTTTCTAATTTTGTTAATTTGGTTCTTCTCCCTTTGTTTCTTAATGAGTCTTGCTAATGGTTTGTCAATTTTGTTTATTTTTTCAAAAAAACAGCATTTAGCTTTGTTAATTTTTGCTATGATCTCTTTAGTTTCTTTTGCATTTATTTCTGCCCTAATTTTTAAGATTTCTTTCCTTCTACTAACCCTGGGGTTCTTCATTTCTTCCTCCTCTAGTTGCTTTAGCTAATCAACGAATACAGTAAAGTTGCAGGATATAAAATTAACACACAGAAATCTCTTGCATTCCTATACACTAACAATGAGAAAACAGCAAGAGAAATTAAGGAAACAATACCATTCACCATTGCAACAAAAAGAATAAAATACTTAGGAGTATATCTACCTAAAGAAACAAAAGACCTATACATAGAAAACTATAAAACACTGATGAAAGAAATCAAAGAAGACACAAACAGATGGAGAAATATACCGTGTTCATGGATTGGAAGAATCAATATTGTCAAAATGGCTATACTACCCAAAGCAATCTACAGATTCAATGCAATCCTTATCAAACTACCAACGGTATTTTTCACAGAACTAGAACGAATAATTTCACAATTTGTATGGAAATACAAAAAACCTCAAATAGCCAAAGTAATCCTGAGAAAGAAGAATGAAACTGGAGGAATCAATCTGCCTGACTTCACACTATACTACAAAGCCACAGTCATCAAGACAGTATGGTACTGGCACAAAGACAGAAATATAGATCAATGGAACAGAATAGAAAGCCCAGAGATAAATCCACGAACCTATGGTCACCTTATCTTTGACAAAGGAGGCAAGGATATACAATGGAAAAAAGACAACCTCTTTAACAAGTGGTGCTGGGAAAACTGGTCAACCACCTGTAAAAGAATGAAACTAGAACACTTTCTAACACCATACACAAAAATAAACTCAAAATGGATTAAAGATCTAAATGTAAGACCAGAAACTATAAAACTCCTAGAGGAGAACATAGGCAAAACACTCTCCGACATAAATCACAGCAGGATCCTCTATGACCCACATCCCAGAATTTTAGAAATAAAAGCAAAAATGAACAAATGGGACCTAATGAAACTTAAAAGCTTTTGCACAACAAAGGAAACTATAAGCAAGGTGAAAAGACAGCCCTCAGATTGGGAGAAAATAATAGCAAATGAAGCAACAGACAAAGGATTAATCTCAAAAATATACAAGAAACTCCTCCAGCTCAACTCCAGAAAAATAAATGACCCAATTAAAAAATGGGCCAAAGAACTGAACAGACATTTCTCCAAGGAAGACATACAGATGGCTAACAAACACATGAAAAGATGCTCAACATCACTCATTATCAGAGAAATGCAAATCAAAACCACAATGAGGTACCATTACACACCAGTCAGGATGGCTGCTATCCAAAAGTCTACAAGCAATAAATGCTGGAGAGGGTGTGGAGAAAAGGGAACCCTCTTACACTGTTGGTGGGAATGCAAATTAGTACAGCCACTATGGAAAACAGTGTGGAGATTTCTTAAAAAGCTGGAAATAGAACTGCCATATGACCCAGCAATCCCACTTCTGGGCATACACACCGAGGAAACCAGATCTGAAAGAGACACGTGCACCCCAATGTTTATCGCAGCACTGTTTATAATAGCCAGGACATGGAAGCAACCTAGATGACCATCAGCAGACGAATGGATGAGGAAGCTGTGGTACATATACACCATGGAATATTACTCAGCCATTAAAAAGAATTCATTTGAATCAGTTCTAATGAGATGGATGAAACTGGAGCCCATTATACAGAGCAAAGTAAGCCAGAAAGATAAAGACCATTACAGTATACTAACACATATATATGGAATTTAGAAAGATGGTAACGATAACCCTATATGCAAAACAGAAAAAGAGACTCCAATGTATAGAACAGACTTGTGGACTCTGGGAGAAGGCAAGGGTGGGATGTTTCAAGAGAACAGCATCGAAACACGTATATTATCTAGGGTGAAACAGATCACCAGCCCAGGTTGGATGCATGAGACAAGTGCTCGGGCCTGGTGCACTGGGAAGACCCAGAGGGATCGGGTGGACAGGGAGGTGGGAGGGGGGACCGGGATGGGGAATACATGTAAATCCATGGCTTATTCATTTCAATGTATGACAAAAACCACTGCAATGATGTAAAGTAATTGGCCTCCAACTAATAAAAATAAATGAAAAAAAATAAAAAATTTAAAAAAAAAAAAGAAAAAGATAGTTCAAAGTTGATTTTCAAATTCCCCTCTGCATCTAAATAACAGTATTTTCATGTGTTTTTTTGATGCTAAATGAAAAAGATCCTAGGGAATTCCCTGGCCATCCTGTGGTTAGAACTCTGTGCTTCCACTGCCAAGGACCTGGGTTTGATCCCTGGTTGGGGAACTAAGATCCCATAAGTCTCATGGTACAGCTAAAAAAAATTTAAAATGTAAGATCCAAGAGTAAAAGGGAGGAAGGGAGAAAGTCTTCTTGCATTCTCATTAGAGGCTGGCCACCTCACCTTACTTGAAAATGGGTCAAATAGGATGCCTGGAAGCAGAGTCAACATTTTTCTTTAAGAGTTTTGCTCATGTACCTGAATAAGGATCAGCTGAGAATACAAAGTTCTTTTTATATACTGCAGAACACAGAAATATAAGAGTAGAGATTATCAGCTAACAGTGCCGCAGCCATGAAAAAACTCTTATTTGAGCCCATGTAATGACTTAGTAGGATTGAGTTCTCGAGTACTACTGACTTGAACAAAGCAGGCAAAGATAAGGTTTTATTTAAATCTATATTAATTTGTCTTTTCTGCTAGTAAGTAGATAAAAAGCAATTCTTATTTTGTAACTGTACAGTTATAAATTACCATGTCTTCAGGGTATATTCAATTAAATAAAAATATAAATTTAAAGAAGGAGAGCTTGAGACTGAAATGTGATTTTAATATGACTATTCTTCCAACAGCCTGGGACAGATATCAATGCCATCTTAAGAAAGACCTATATTATAGTTTAAAACAATGTCTCTAAAAAAGACACCGTAAGTTTCACATACCTGATTGCGGCAAAGTAATGGCTGCCTACTAAATGTCTTTTTCTGGTTTTCTTAGTAACAGACCCCTATCTTTTTAGAAGTGGCAATGTACTCAGGTTAAAAAAAAAACAAAACAAAACATATCCAGGTCTTCCCTATACACAAGGATGACCAATGAAATGCAGTAAAAGTGTTGGGTAAGTTTCTGGGAAAAGCTCTTTAAAGAGGCCTGACTCAGATGAAAATTCTCTCCCACCCTTCCTCCTACCCCTTCTTCCTATTCCTTCCAGGATTACAGTTATGATAGCAAGAGCTCTAGCCACCACTGTGGATCATGAGGCAATCTTGAGAATGAAAACTACACCCTAAAAATATCAAAGAAAAAACAGAAGGAGCTTGGGGCCCCAATGACTTATGGAGCCACTATGCTAGCCCTAAAATGCCTATCTGTGGTGCTCACTTCGGCAGCACATATACTAAAATTGGAACAATACAGAGAAGATTAGCATGGCCCCTGAGCAAGGATGATACGCAAATTCTTGAAGCGTTCCATAAAAAAAAAAAAAGAAAAAAAAATGCCTATCTGTGTATTTCTTTTGCAGAAAGAAAAATTAAACTTCTCGCTGTTTAAGCCACTGCATTTCAGGTCTCTATTACAGGTACTATACATTCCTAACTAATCCACTTGAACAAAACTCTACTGCATTCTCATTCAGAATTTGGCAAAATCTCATTTTATTTGGATATGGATAAAATGGGACACCTGAAAGCAGGCAAAAGTTTTCTTTACGGAAACTTATCAATCACAATTGTACTGCAATTATTTACTGTTGACCCTATGACATTAAAAGCCATTTACTCCTTGGAAGGAAAGTTATGACCAACTTAGACAGCATATTAAAAAGCAGAGACATTACTTGGTCAACAAAGGTCCGTCTAGTCAAGGCCATGGTTTTTCCAGTAGTCATGTATGGATGTGAGAGTTGGACTATAAAGAAAGCTGAGCACCGAAGAACTGATGCTTTTGAACTGTGGTGTTGGAGAAAACTCCTGAGAGTCCCTTGGACTTCAAGGAGATCCAACCAGTCCATCCTAAAGGAGATCAGTCCTGGGTGTTCATTGGAAGGACTGATGCTGAAGCTGAAACTCCAATACTTTGGCCACCTGATGGGAAGAACTGACTCATTTGAAAAGGCCCTGATGCTGGGAAAGACTGAGGGCAGGAGAAGGGGAAGACAGAGGATGAGACGGTTGGATGGCATCACCAACTCAATGGACATGGGTTTGGGTAAACTCCAACAGTTGGTGACGGACAGGGAAGCCTGGCGTGCTGTGGTTTATGCGGTCACAAAGAGTCCGACACGACTGAGCAACTGAACTGATTAGACTGTGGGCTACTTGAAAAAAGTTCACATATTTTTGTCTATCACCTAGAATGCTGCTTGGCTGGTAAATACATGGTCATAAACTTTTGCTGAATTGAATTTTCTTTACAGAAATATGATACCAACCTTAGCAAATATACTCTAATTATTTATATAATGTTATTTATTCAGTTAATTCAGAATAGTGACTTTTATTTTTGTGCTATTAATATCAAAATAAATATATTTTCTTCTGAAAATTATTTCAGGAAAAGAAAAAACAGTCCATTTCAGGATGTTTCAAGATACCTGGCTGACATATTGTTTTCAGGAAGAAGTGGAATTTCCAGAACCTTTGTGCTGGTAATTATTATCTCTTGGCTTGCAGTAGCAACTGTCTTCCCAGTGATTCGATGCACCTGGTAAAATGCATGAGGCCGTAAATATCGGTCATCTGCTGTTCCAATAAACATCTGTAGATTTATTGGCTTTTCACTGTAGCCCAGGAGCTAATTTGGAAGAGCAAACACAGAAAAATTACAACTCATTATCCATGCATTTTACAGTAAGTTTACAATAAGTCTTGTATTTATATCATATACTATTGATACATAAAATCTTATCTCAATAGTGAAAACAAGTAACAAGTGAACAACCCTCTAAATTGCAGAAATATTTTAAGAGTTATAAAATTCTGGATGAGGGGATGAGGGGGTTTGGGGGGATTAAAAGCTAGATCCACCTAAATTCTGAAAAGCCTTGATAGAGTGCCATGTAGAATATAAAAGAAATGTTGATTCTGTGCTCCAGGCAACATTAACCATCCAGATCAGACTTAAAGATCACCATATGTGGGAAGGTCCTCTATCAGGCTATTAAAACCAGAGACACTTTTAGTAGAAATGACCTGAAAAGTCCTTTTCCATGTTTCCAACTTGGCGTTTCAACGGACTTAAAAAGTTAGGCTACTTGACTTTCTTTGGTACTCTTCGCTATTGCCTGGGTTAAAATAGCTACACAGGATGAAGAAGGGTGATGGCCAGGAGGTACTGGACGTAAAAATCGTGACCACAAGAAAAGAGGCAGTTAAAACAAACAGAGCCTAAAGCACTTAGGGAGGCTCCTGTGTTCAGTCTGATGGCTGAGTAGCACCCACTGGACCTGCCATCATGCAGAGAGCAACTATGTGTGCTGTACTGTGCTTAGTCGCTCAGTCGTATCCGACTCTTTGTGACCCCATTGACTGTAGCCCACCAGGCACCTCTGTCCATGGGGATTCCCCAGGCAAGAATACTGGAGAGGATTGCCATGCCCTCCTCCAGGGGATCTTCCCAGCCCAGGGATGGAACCCAGGTCTCCTGCATTGCGGGCAGATTCTTCACCTTCTGAGCCACCAGGGAAGCCCAACAGCTACTATACACTGGAACAAATATAAAGAATGACTTCGAAAGGAAGGAAAGTATCAAGGTAAACAGATACTAGAAACAAACTGACACATGTAAGAAGAAAACAAGGGAAGGTGTGTTTCCTGTTTTTAAGGCTTTAATCTGAAGGAAAGCCAGAGTCCATGCTTTTAAGTGTGACTGAAACCTCCAAAGAAATCTACAGTCTGAAGGGCTTGAAGAACGAAGGGCAGAGCCTGTCAACCTCTGGAAAGTAGAGGCAAATCCCTGAAAAGAGAGCCAGAGAGGGGGTGCTCCAAGTTATATATGTACACATACTCCACCCAGTTCTTTGGCTGACCTGTAAATCATCCATAACAGGACAGACTCAAGCAGCCTAAGGCTAAAATAACTGAAATGAGATAATGAGCTACCACCAAGCACAGGGAGACAGGTTTTACAGGTCGACTCCAACCAAGTTAAGTGCCTGCTTAAACAAAAAAAATCAACATTCTTTGGGAGTACATATGGGTGTGCATTTATATTTGTTTTGATGTTATTCTTCAAAGCTGTATGAGTTCTTCATATAATCTGAATATTAATCCCTTGCAGATATGTGATCAGTAAATACTATCTCCCATTCTGCAGGTTATTTTTTTCACTTTCTTGGTTGTGTCCTTTGACACACAAAAGTTTTTTAAATTTTGCCTTTTGCCTTTGTGCATGCTCAGTCATGCCCAACTCTGCAAACCTGGACTGTAGCCCACCAGGCTCCTCTGTCCCTGATTTTCCCAGGCAAGAATACTAGGAAAGGATTACCATTTCCTACTCCAGGGGATCTTCCCAATCCAGGGATCGAACCCACATCTCTTGTGTCTCCTGCATTGACAGATGGATTTTTAACCAACTACAGCACCTGGGAAGACCCTTCTTAATTTTGATGGAGTCTGATTTGTTCCTTGTGTTGCTTGTGCTTTAGCTATCACACTTAAGAAACCACTACCAAGTCCAATGTTGAGAAGATTTTCCTCAAGTTTTCTTTCAAAATTTTATAGTTTTAGGTCTTGCATTAGGTCTCTGATCCACTTTGAGTTAATTTTTGTGTATCATATAAGGCAAGGATTCAACTACATTGTCTTGCTTGTGGATATCTAATTTTCCCAGTACCATCTGTTGAAAAGACTCATTTCTCCCACTGAATGGTCTTGGAACCCTATCAAAAATTAATTCATCTTATATGTTAGAACTTGTTTCTGGGCTTTCTATTCTACTTCATTGGTCTGTCTTTGTGCCAGCACCATACTGCTTAAAATACTGTAGTTTTGTAGTATGTTACAAGTCAGGGAGAGGAAATCCTCCAACTTTATTCTTCTTTTTCTGGATTGTTTCAGCTACTTGAGGCCCCTTGCAATTCCATGTGAATTTGAGAATATACTTTTCCATTCTGCTAAAAGGACTGTTGGAATCTGGCTAAGTACTGCATTAAATCTGTAGATTTCTTTGGGGAGCACTGGTATCTTAATTAAGTCTCCCTCCCATGAAAATGGGATGTCTAAATATTTTTGTTCCAAGTATACTTGGATTTTATTTCTACTTTAAAGTCTTTATTGAATTTGTTGTAATACTGTAATCTTATGTTTTGTTTTTTTTGGCCTGGAGGCACATAGGATCTTAGCTCCTCAACCAGGGACTGAACTTGCACCCTCTGAACTGGAAAACAAAGTCTTAACCACTCGATTCCCAAGGAAGTGCTTATTTTTAGTTTATGTATTTTTTAAATTACTTTATATATTTCCATTTACTTTTCTTTCAGCAATATTTTCTAATTTTCAGCATACAAGTCCTATATATATCTCCTTGGTTAAATTAATTCCTAACTATTTAATACTTTTAGATGCTACTGTAAGTGAAACTGCTTTCTTAATGTCCTCTTTGGGTTGTTTATCACCTATATGTGCTTCCCTGGTGGCTCAGATAGTAAAGACTCTGCCTGCAATGTGGGAGGCCTGGGTTCAATCTCTGAGTTGGAAAGATCCCCTGGAGAAGGGAACCAGCTACCCACCCCAGTATTCTGGTCTGAAGAATTCCATGGACTGAATAGCCCATGAGGTCACAAAGAGTCAGACATGACTGAGCAACTTTCACATAGAAATACACAGAAACACAACTGGTTAAGTATGCGTTGATCTCCTGCCCAGAAACTTCCCTGAACCAATTTATTAGCTCTAGCAGCTTTCTTGGTGATTATTCAGGATTTTTAAAATAGAAGAGCATGTCATCTGTTAATAGAGATAATTTTACCTCTTCCTCTCCAATTTGGATGTCTTTTATTTCTTTTTATTGCCTAAGAGCTCTGGTGAGAACTTCTGGCACAAATGTTGACTAGCAGTGACAAAAGCAAGCAAACTTGTCTTGTTCCTGATCTTAGGGGAAAAGCTGGCAGTCTTTTACCAGGATGATGTCAGCTGTGGGCTTTTCATAAATGACCTTGATCATGTTAAGGACTTCCCCACTTTTCCTAGTTTGCTTGGGTGTTTTTTTTTTAATGAAAGCTGTTAAATTTTATCAAATGCCTTTTCTATGTCAACTGAGATGATTATGTGTTTTTATGCCTTCATTCTATTAATATGATTATAACAACTGATTTTCTTATGTTGAATGACCTTCTACATTCTTGAGGTAAATCCCACTCGGTCATGCTGTATAATCCTTTTAAAAAAATTATTTATTTGGCTGCACTGGGTCTTAGTGGGGGCTTGCAGGTGTACTTGCCCTGTAGTATGTGGGATCTCTGTTCTCTGGCCAGGGATTAAACACACTCCCCTACATTACGAGGAGGATTCTTAACTACTGCACCACCAGGGAAGTCCCTATATAATCCTTTTAATGTATTGTTGGATTTGGTTTGCTAGTTTTTTTTGTTGAGGATTTTTGTCATATATTTTAGGGACATTGTTCTTGTAGTTTTCTTGTATCTTTGTCCTTATTATCCTTTCAATTAAGAAAAATTTTTCCACATCTCTACTGGAATTCCTTCATCGCTTCACATATTTAGCCCACCTTTTCTACTAGTTAATTTAGCATTTTATCACTGTTATGTCAAAGTCTCTTTCTGGTAAGTCCAACCCATATGTAGAGCTGGATTTGGGCCACCTCTGGGTCTGTTTCTATTGACTCTTTTCTCTTCACTGTGGTTCACAGTATTTTTTTTTTTTTTTAATAATTCTGTATTTATTTAGTTTTGGCTTTGCTGGGTCTCTGTTGCTACACTGGCTTTTCTCTAGATGCAGTTAGTGGGGGCTACTCTCTAGCTGCAGTGCGCAGGCTTCTTACTACAGTGGCCTCTCATTGCAGAGTACAGGCTCTAGGGAGTGCTGCTGCTCTTGCTGCTAAGTCACTCCAGTCGTGTCCGACTCTGTGAAACCCCAGAGACGGTACCTATCAGGTTCGCCCATCCCTGGGATTCTCCAGGCAAGAACACTGGAGTGGGTTGCCATTTCCTTCTCCAATGCATGAAGTGAAAAGTGAAAGTGAAGTCGCTCAGTCATCTCCGACCCTTAGCGACCCCATGGACTGCAGCCCACCAGGCTCCTCCGTCCATGGGATTTTCCAGGCAAGAGTACTGGAGTGGGTTGCAATTGCCTTCTCCTGTAACCAAGCAACATCATAATTTATTGATTATCCTTCTCTACCCAGGAAAGGACATGAAATTTTTTGCCTGTTATCAGAAAAAAAGGATTTACTCAGGATGGTTTTCAGTCCTGTAACATTTAGAGAAGCAAATAAAGCCTGGACCAGTGCAACAGCCTTGTAACTGCTCTCCCTGTTCTTCTTCTTGCTCCTTGCTAGCCTGTTTTCTGTCAAGGAGCCAGAACAAACTTGTAACATTAACCGGATAACTTTACCTCCCTGCTCAGAACTCTCCAGTGGCTTCCTTCCACACTGAGAACTAAATTCAAATACCCTACAAATATTTACAAGTCCTATGTGATTTGGGCCCTAGATAATGTGCTGCCATACCTTCTTCTACTCTCTCCCTTCCACACAGTCTGTTCTGGTCATCCTGGCCTTATTGCATGAACCACTTAAGCTCATTCGGACCCTCAGGAGCTTCATACTTAATATTT